GAGGGGCGTCTGAGTCAGATCATCATCTCTCTACCCGACCCACACTTAACAGTCCTGATGGTGTTGGTCTGATTAACCGAGGTGGCTTTATTGCTAAAGGAATCCTGGTGGCAGAGTGGGTTAAGCGTTAAGCTGAAAACCAAAAGGTTGGTGATTGAAACTCACCAGCCACTCCATGGGAGAAAGATGAAGCTGTCAGCTCCCATCAACATTCCCAATCTCAAACACCCTATGGAGTCCTACTGTGCCCTATGGGGTTGCTGAGTTGGAATCGACTCGGTGGCAGTGGGGTCAATTTCTCTACTGTTAAAAAAAGTCCTTCTAACCCATGACAGTGTAGGATACGGATTGCACCCCCAAATAACTTTCTGTAAGGATCGGTTAAGTAACACAAATGAAACATGCAGAGTCAAGAATCTGACAAAGCGCTAAGAACTGTTCCAGGTTAGGGGCAGCCAGCATTCAGCAAAGAGGTTGCTACTGGGTGTTCTAATCAAACAAACAGATCTGGAAATCTAGATTGTGATGTGAAATCTCTCAATATGAAGGTTGGCTCAATTGGTTAAACATAGATACACAGTTCCAACTCACAGTGATGTTATATAGGGTTTCCAAGGAGCAGCTGGTGGGTTTTGAACTGCCGACTTTGTGGTTTGCTGTCCAGAGCTGATCCGACAGCGCCACATCAGGAATCCAGAGACACACTGGGAGAGCCAAATAAATGTTTGCAACCTCTGGCCTAAGCATGAACCACGTGCTTGGACATCAAGGTTGCGTCTCCTCCCACCTCAGGACGCGAATGGCTGCTGGCTGTAAGCCTGCTGGAGTCACCCTCCTCCCCTGCTTCCTGAGTCTGGCTTACTTCTCGTTTCTGAGGAGGGTTGTGTTTTAGTGATTTGGGGGGAGGTGGATACTTGCCCTAATATGAGAAACTAGCTTCCAGTGCTCTGCAAGGAATACTACAAACAAATCTTCCTTCTACACCCAGCTCCATCATGGATGACTATCCGTAGGCAGTTACAAATTTCGCAGAGTATGTTTCTAGCATTTTCATTCCATGCAGCTCTGCAGAGGCAGGGCAAGGATTATCCTCAAATGAAGAAACTGAAGCCCAAAGGTCACCAGTAAGCAGTATAATCCAACTCCAAAACCCTGGATTGTGTTCTTTGAAGTGCTGTTGATGGGGACATGGCATGATCCCTTTTTTCTATCACATTCTCTGCCAAGGGGGTGTTGTTCCCTAGCTTGAGGAGACAAGTGCTATCCATTGGATGCTACCTGCATGTTGCCTCCCAGACTCACTTCTTTGTGCTGTGAATTGGTCCTGAGCTCATCTCCTCCATGAGACACCAAATGACCCTGGGAGAAAGGTTCTGTCTTGTTCATTTCTGTAACTTAGGCAGGAGCTGGTGTGTGAGCTGGCAATGATGCTTGTTGAGAGACAACAGCAATGACAGGACTCCAGAGTTGAGGAAGGAAGGGTAACTGACATATGAGGGGATCCCATGGAATCTTCACAGCCTGTGAGGTAGTTATCATCATTCCTATTTTCCAGATGAAGAACTTGAAGCTCAGAAGAGGAGACCTGTTCAAGGTCACACAGCACAGGCGAGGCAAGCCTGAACACTGTGCTAGAAACTAGGGCAGCGTGACTTCACAGTCCTTCCTTCTAGTCTTGAACCTTTGTGGGTAGTCTTTTACAAGTCCATAAAAGGTAGCAAAATTAGGGAGTTAGGGAGCCAGATGCATGGAGTTAATGGTGGGAAGACTGTTCCATAGGCATGGGATTTGGGCCCTGGAAACAGACAGCTCCCCCTCCAGACCCCAAAAAGCTACAAGGCTTGTGCCTTTCCCAGGGACAGAGAAAGCTGAGGAGGAAAGAGAAGGGCTCACAGCTTAGGTCTAGGCACAGATTATGCATTGCTTTAGACAGCCTCTCTCTGGACCCCATGCACCCTACATTTCACTAGTAGATATTCATTCTTTGGGGCACACACAGCCAGCCCAGGCTGTCTAGTCCCCAGTGTCCTGGCACAAGTATATCTCCATCATATTTTCATCTGTTGGCAGGAAAGCAGAGAAAAAGCCTAGGGAACCTGCAAAAGACAGGGCAAAGGAAGTGGGAAAAGTAGGTGACAGATCGTAGGCCTTTTGACTCTGGCCCCAAATGCCATAATTCTCTTGAACTCAACATGCAGGTCTACTGGTCTTTTGATTTGGCCACAGGTCTCATTAACCCTAGTAGACTTGCTCTGTAGACAGTCCTTAAGTGGGGAGAGATTTTCCAAAGGGGCCACATACCCCAGAACTCATATAATGGTCCAAGTTTAAATTCTTGGGTCCTTTTTTATGGTTCCTTTTGGAAAGCAGGGACACCTCTTCCCAATGCATTTTCCAGGGGCTTGCCTAACCTCTGGTCTTCCTCCTCTGGAAGGAAGCAGTTGTTCCTGGTATGATTACCCCATCGCTCCTAGACATGTGAAGAGAACCTAGTTAACAGTTGTTGGAGGTGTCTTGAAGCAGAAGGTAGCTGGGTTAGTAGTGCTGGACAGTTCCTGCCATTGGGAAACTGGTAGACTCACAGAACTCAACCCTCTAATCTGGGAGGGTTCTTTGAAGGCAGTGGTCACAGCTCTAGTGTTCTAATGCCTCCAGCCTAGAGTTTCTTGACACAGTCCAGAAAGCCTGGGAAAGGATGTGGTTATGGTTAGGTGCTGTGGAGTCAATTCCAACTCAGAGCAACCCCATGTAGCAGGCCCATGTCAACAGAAGGATGTGGAGCCCCTCTCAAATTCCACTGTCAGCTCACAAATCTACAGCCCTAGATGAGCAGAAAGGAAGTTTGCTTAGAGAACACTCATCTCCTAGGCTATCCAAGAACTATGCCAACAGCGAGCTGAAGTTGGGGCTGAAACTGAAGCCAGGGATATCTGCGAGGGCTGCCACCCTAGTGTATCAGGTGCTTGGAGCTGTGAGCAAAGACCTTGCCACAATGCAGACACATGTAGGGTTTCTCATGATTGTGGGCTGCCAGGTGGAGGAGCAGGGGAGAGCTCTGGCTGAAGCCCTTGCCATACGTGATGCATGTGAAAAGCTTTTGGCACATGTGGGATGGTGCCACAGCAGATGTGAGCTGTCCACAAAACTCTTGCTGCAATCGGGGCACTTAAATGGACTTCTGGTCTGTGTGTGAGAGTTGGTGTTTAAGGAGCTTGGAGTTGTGGTAGAAGCTTTTGCCACATTCTAGTCTGGTAGCATAGTGGTTACAAATCGGGCTGCTAACCTCAGGGTCAGCAGTTCGAAACTACCAGCTGTTCCGCAGGAGAAAGATGAGGCTTTCTGCTCCCACAAAGATTTACAGCCTCGGAAACCCTGTACAGGGTCGCTATGAGTGGGAACCAACTCTGCAGCACATCATCACCACCACCACCAGACAGGCATAGTGTTGTTCACCAGAGTGGCTGTGCTGGTGCAGTGAACTGGGTGGCTCACTGAAGCCAAGGCCGCATTTAGGACACAAGTGAATGCTTGAGCAGATGGAGCTTCAGCCTGAGCCATTACCGAACCAGGTACAGCAGTAGGGCTTCTCATGTACATGTGAGCGCTAGTATGGGCTGCAAGGGGGTGAAACTGAGGCGGAAACTCTTGCCACAATCTCAACAACAGTGGGGATTCTCAACCGTGTGCATACGCTGGTGCTGGATTTGGCTGACGCTGATGCTGAGTCTTCCCCCACTGTGCACCCGTTAAATTAACTAGGTCCAAGCTTCCGACACACGTTAGGAATATGTGAAGCCGGTGGCCTGAGAGCTAGCAATGGTGTTGGATGGGATTGGAGCTGAGGCTGAAGCAGTTGCCACACTCGGGGCAGGAGTACGATTTTATGCCAGTGTGTCCATGGTGATGCTTAATCAGATCTGGACCATGTCGGGAGTCTTTGCCACACTTGGGAGAGCAGTTAAGTTTTGTCACCTGCCTGCCTGGGTGGTGAATAAGGTTAGGGAAGCTGGCTTCGGTCAGACCACACTCCTGGCACCAGAAAATTGTGGGGCGTACAAGACGGGAGGGAGGTCTTGGAAGCTTCTTCCTCCCCCGGGCCTGAGCCAGACTTACACCGGCACTGCGGGTCTAGCAGCATTTCCCCGGCGCCTACTCTAGAGAAACAACTTCACAATCGAGGGGAGGCCTCAGAGCTCCCGGGATCCCCTGGGGTCTCTCGCCACTCACGCTACATCTGAACTCCCTCCTCAAAACTTGTGGAGTCACAGACTCCAACGCAAGTGAACAACGCCCCATCCGGCGGACATCCTCCACTCACACCTCAAATAGAATGGAGTTGTGGGGGGGGGGGGTTTCCGGAAACGGAAATATCCACAAGCCCGTGGCGCTCTAGGAAGCAGCGGCAAACGGTCTCGGTGGGCTTAACCCTCTCATTCACCTGGCCAAGCGAGAGCTCCCCGTCTGCGGTCACTGTCAGGAACTTGACACAATCGCCCGAACTCGGAGTTCATCACCCTGGACACCTGGGCCTGAGCACCATTCGAGGGGAGGCGAAGTGAGCCTAAAAGAGGGAAGGCGGTCGCTGCTGGGGACACACCAGAGGCAGAGTAACCGAGTCATCTGGAGCTGCACCATAGGAAGACTTCATGGTCGGATGTCTGGGTTCTCCAGGGGCATCGGTCCACTCGGAAACCTCTAGGAGTGGGTTTCCCATCCCTCCTAAGCTTGGCGTGTTAAGCTTGGCAAGAACTACACATCCCAGCACGTGGAGTGCGCGCCTGTCAGGGTCGCACAACGTTTAGTGAATCACGACGTGCTTTCTGCTACTGTGCAAGAATCAGTTTCTGGATCATGAACTACAACTTCCGACTTGCTAGATATCCGTGGATGCACGATTGAAAAGCATCAGAGAGGAGGTGTCTGGCCACGCCCTCTTTTGCAGTTCCGCTCCTTTTAGATGAGTGGGGGAGAGGGAGGGCGGAGCCTCGGCCCGAGCCAAGATGGCGGCTGCAAAGCTAACCCCCACGGACTCGCTCTCATTCTGCCTCGCGCAGCTCACGGCGGCGGCTGGGGAGGGTCTGGGTGGAAGAAAGGACACGGCTATCAGCGAGACACCCCTCGGCCGTGCGCTTTTAGCTCTCCGCACACGCCACGTCAAGGCAGCAGGGGGAATCGAGCGCTTCCGGGCACGCGGCGGGCTCCGCCCCCTTCTTGCGCTGCTACGGCGAGCGGCTGCTGCGGACCCCGCCCCGGCCCAGGCAAGCCCCGGCTCCGCCCCCTCAACGGTTTCTGCTGTTCCCGCCCCCCCATCGGGCTCCGCCCCCTCTTCTGCGTCCTCGACGACGTCTTCGCCCCCAGTGCGTCAGCGCAAGACTTTGGACTTGGCTCTCAGCATCCTAGCCAACTGCTGTACAGAAGGGGCGTGCCGGGCTGAAGTGCGCAGACTCGGAGGCATTCTCCCCTTGGGTAAGTGTTCCGCTCTTAGTTCTTACAGTGATCTAATCCACAACTCCCTCCCTGTCTGAGCCTGGGAGGAGTCTTGTATTCTTTATTTAACTAGGAGAACATGCTTTGTGACGTCACAGCACCCCCATCTTACGCTATCACGCCCAGTGGCGTCATGCTTACGATGTTACTCCCAGCCGTCCCTCCTTCCCCCACTTGCCGGAATAATTACAGCTATTACCTGGATATAATCAGTAGGGCTTCTTGTATCTGGCCTGGTGTAGACTTCGTGACTTTTTCACATGATTCCTATGCTCTATTTATGATAATTCAAAAGCAGACACTGAATGCTTACTCTGTGTTTAGGTTTTGAGAACCGACTTGATGAGCTGGAGGCCAGAAGATGTCCTTTTTTTTTTTCTTCTTTTTGCAAATAGCACATATAGCACACACAGGAAATGTGTGTATTTGCCAACCCATACACATTATTTGCATAAAAACGTGGTTGTTGTTAAGTGTTGTAAAGTCGGTTCCAACTCATAGTGACCCTGTAGGGTTTTCTAGGAGCTGCTAGTAAGTTTGAACCTCCCACCTCCTGCCTTGTGGTTTAAACCAACCTTCTGGTCAAGTGCTTATCTTCCAAGCGCCATTCATAAAGTGGACTCTGCAACTCTCCAGACGTGGGTCGCCTTGCCTCCAACACACCTAGACCCTCCGAGGCTAGGATCCCTTATAAAATGAGATTGTAATAGTTACCTCTCAAAACTGGAGTGGGGAAGCAATGAAATACAAGTATAGAACGCAGAACTGGGTGCCTCAAGTTATTAAAAATTGGCACAAAACAAGAAGTCCTGGCAAAAAGGAACAAGCTTTGCTGTTTCCCAGCTTAATTGGCGCCTCCTGGTGGCAACAATGCAAATACAATATACACATACTTGCCAGATGTCAGTTTTGATGAAATGTTTTGGATAGTGAATTGGTAACCTTTTATCCATAAAATGCCTCCAAATTAGGCAGAGAAGACGACGTCAAGAGATGGTGTGGCTGGGGACTTGGGATCAGGAGATGGAAAGGGGCTGAGGACTGTGGTGGGGGGGGTGCAGGCTTACGGGGTACACACCTTGCTTGGGTGAGGATGCCTGGACGGGATGGTAACTATGCCAGTGAAATGGTGGAGGATGGAATGAATGTAAAGCTGATGTTCTCCCATGTAGACTATCACACAATTCACAATAAAACAACAACAACAAAAATGCCTCCAAATTATAATTTGTTTAACAAGAGGCTTGGCGCAGTAATTCAAACCAGTTATTTTTGTCCAGTTGTCTATCTCATGGCGTCCCCATGTGTGCCAGAGTTGAACTGCGCTCCACAGGGGTTTCAGAGGCTGATTTTTCAGAAGTAGATCATCAAATCTTTCTTATGAGGTACTTCTACCTTGAGTCAAAATTCCAACTTTGCAGTTAGCAATTGAACATATTTACCAGTTATCTCACCCAGGGATTCCGGTACATTCCTTTAGTCCTCAGTAAATAATAGGGTTTTTGAATTCATGTATACCCGTCCACACATACATATTTACATTCTTCAGTCACTCTGAACAGCTCCTGAATCCATCCTTTTTTTTTTTTTTTTTTTTTCTGTCCCCGCTTCTCCCATATGCCCAGGGACTAGCTGACTTGGTTCAAACTGCTGCTGCCCAGTAGGGCTGCCCCTCCCCTACCCCTGTCTTAGTCCTTGTTTCTGTAGTCATCCTTGGAAACCCTATACAGGGTTGGTATGAGTTGGAACCACACTTAACAACAACAACAACAGCAGTCCTTTCTCTGGAGTCATCCTGGTGTGACGCTGTAGGATAAGCAAACCAAAAGGTCAGTTGAAATTGCAAGATGAGTGGTTCAAACTCACCAGCCATGTCTCAGAAACCTATACAGGGTTGTGATGAGTTGGAATCGACTTGACAGCACTTTACATCAACAATCCTTTCTCTATATGACTGTTAGAATGTATCATGTCACTCCCTTTCTTAAAGCCTCCCGTACCTCCCAGAGTTCTCAGAAAATCTCAGGCCTGGCATTTGAGGCCATAGCACAGACACTAGCTGAGCTCTGGGCCGTTTCCTCGGCTACTTCCAAGCATGACAAGTCCTGTAACAGCTCTGTTACTCTCTCTCTAGCCAATTCCTCCTTAGCCTTCCAGACCCAGCTCAAGTTAGTATCTTCGGGAGGCCTTCTTGAGGTGATTGATGAGAGAGAAAACAGGCACCCAAACTTTCCTTGCAGTGACCATCCTTCAATGTGTGAAGACAGACAGCATCCTGAACCGAACAGCCCGTGCTCTGGGGAACTTAGCCATGGAACCTGAGAGCTGTAACGACATCCACTCCGCTGGTGAGAGGCTGGGAGGCTGAGGGTAGGAGAGGGGCTTGGGGATCTTGCCTCGCTCACCTGCTGACCTACCCTTCTCCTCTCCAGGTGGTGTCCCCCTGCTCCTGGAGAGCCTAACGGCCTGCCAGGACTCACAGTGTCTGCAGAGCGTGGTCCGTGCCCTCCGCAACTTGGCGGACTCCCCCCAGCACCGCTTGCTCCTGGCACAGCAGGGAGCGGTACGTCCACTGGCAGAACTCCTGGCCACTACCCCAGACCTTGCCCTGACCTCAGCCCTGGTCCGTGCCCTCCTGGAGCTGAGCTGGGGCTGCTCCCGGGCCTGTGCTGAGCAGCTAAGTCTGGGTGGAGGGCTGGGCCCCCTTGTCAGCCTGGCCTCTCATCCCAAACGGGCTGTACGTGAGGCAACCATTCTGACCCTTGCCAACTTGTGCGCCCAGGGCCTGGTGCGGCCTGCACTGGGCAATGCTGGTGGCGTGGAGGTGCTACTGGGAGAGCTCCGGCGGCGCAGGGACACGAATGGAGCCAGTCCAGCCTCCCAGCAGCCCCTGGTGCGGGCTGTCTGCCTCCTCTGCAGGGAGGCCATCAACCGGGCCCGGCTGCGGGATGCTGGCGGTCTAGAGCTGCTGATGGGCCTACTTCGTGACTCCCGTGCCAAAGCCTGGCACCCTCGTGTTGTGGCTGCCCTTGTGGGCTTCCTCTATGATACGGGGGCCTTGGGCCGGCTGCAGGCTCTGGGGCTTGTGCCTCTCCTGGCTGGACAGCTGTGTGGAGAGGCTGGCGAGGAAGAAGAAGAGGGCACAGAAGCTGCTTCTTGGGACTTCCCCGAGGAGCGGACCCCTGAGCGGCCAGAGGCTGGAAGCTTCCGAAGCCTCAGGTAAGTCCAACCTTGGGGCTGGGGTGGGTGGGATTCTGTGTCTACTCTGGCCTTCTTCCCTACCCTACCCTCCCCCAATACCAAATTCTGCCTAGTAAGGTTTGTTTTTTTCAAACATTTTATTGTGAATTGGGTGAAGATTTACTGAGCAGGTCATCAGTTTTACCTTCAACAAGTCATATACTTTGCTTCATTACAATGATTGCAATCCCTTCTACGTGCCATCAGTTAACAGTGTTTACCTCTATTCACTTTAACATTGCATTCTTCCGCTACCTTCATCTTTCCTCTGCCAACCTCCCTCTTTTTACATGTTGCCTGCCCAGTTGCCCATACTAACACGTGTCTACCCTCTTTGTTGTTGTTAAGTGCTGTTGAGTGGGTTCTGACTCATAGCAACCCTGTAAAAGGTTTCCACGGCTTTAAATCTTCGAAGGAGCAGAAAGCCTCATTTTTCTCCAGCAGAGTGGCTGGCAGCCTCGAACCATAGGCCTTGTGGTTTGCGGTCCAGTGCTTATCAAATGGAGCCACAATGATCCCGTCTACCCACTAGCCCACGAATCATTTTTCCTCCTCCACCTCATAATCCTCATAGAAAGTTTCTCTTATCAAGAATGCCTTTTCTGAACTTTTTGCGTTGTTCTCATTTTGTCCTTTTGTGATTGACTAATTTCACTCTGCATACTGTCTTCTGAGTTCCTCCCTGTTGTGAGGTGTTTTGTTGATTTAGTGTTATTCTTCAAAGTTGCATTATATTCCATTGTGTATATGTACTAAAGTTTGGTTAACCATTCTTCTATTGCTGGGCATTTAGGCTGTCTCCATCTTTTTGATATGTCTCTGTAGACAGCATATGGAAGGTTCCTGTTTTCTTGTCCTTTCTACGCTCTCTGTCACTTGACTGGCGTACTTAATGTGTTTGTATTCAGTGCAGTTATTCATAGGTATGAGTTGATTGTTGTCATTTTCTGTGTATGAGTTGTTGTTGTTGTTGTTCTGCTGTTTTCTTTGTTACACATAATTTCCTGTGCTGTTCATTCTGTTTGTGGGATTTCTGTGCATTTTCTGTTGGGTTAACGTGTAATAAATCTTATGATTTTCCTCTCTTTTTATTTTGATGTGCAGGTATATTCACTCTTTGAGCTTGCCATGTAATTTATTGACATTTTCCATGTTTAAAATAGTCTGTTGTCTCTTGAAATCTACCTGACTTCCTTGTCACTTGGAAGTTCTGTATCTACACTATCTCTTCTTTTTGTTTTATAGTTGTCTTCATTATAAATTGACATCTCTGATTCCCTATTTTCAGTCTTGTAGGTTTGTTTTACCTTGAGTACTTATGTATATGGATTGGGAGTCCTGGCGTGGAACCTTAGGACAACATGCAAGGTTGGATTGAGTTGCAAGATCAGCTGTTCAAACTCACCAACTACTCCTCAGAAACCCTATACAGAGTCGCTGTGAGTCAGAACTGACTCAGTGGTGCTTAATAACAACAATATATGGGTTGAGTTCTGGGTGGTATTCGTCATGTCTGGTAATCTCAGGTTATTATCTGCTATTATTGGTTCTCAGTCATTTTTTTGTAAAGTTGGTCTGGTCATTACAAGTTCCTTTAATAATATATTTATCAGGAACTATCCTGATTTCCCCATTGTATTTGAGGGACAGCTTTGCTCGGTATATGATTCTTGGTTGGCAGTTTTTTTCTTTCAGAGTTCTATATATGGCATCCCATTGCATTTTTCTTCATGGTTTCTACTGAAAAATCGGAGCTAGTCTTAGTAGTGCCAAAGTGCTCCTTGGAAGTCAGGATAGCCAAACTTCGTCTCTCATATTCGGACATATTGTCAGGAGGGACCAGTCATTGGAGAAGGATATCATGTTTGGTAAGGTGGAGGGTCAGAGAAAAAGAGGAAGACCCCCAACGAGATGGATTGGCCAAGTGGCAGCATCGATGGACTCAAGCGTGGCAACAGTAGTGAGGTTGGCCCAGGATCGGGCCAACTGTATTTCGTTCTGCTGTGCATAAGGTCGCTATGGGTCAATATCGACTTGATGGCACCTAATAACAACAGTCTTAGTGGTTCTCTTTTATAGGTAACTTTTTTTTTAGTTTTTATTTTGAATTATATGTTAATTTACATGGGTGAACATTATCTTTACATTCATCGTATCGTATTTTGTTTCATTGCAATGATCACAATCCCCTGCATGCATTATCAAACAGTCAACCAAAAGGTACGCCCCACACGCCTGCCCCCTGGCTGCCAGCACACAGCCCCTCTCCCTCCCTGAGTCCAGAGTCCCCAGCCGTTCCTCTGTCCACGTCATCGTCAATGCCTCCACCCTTAGTGTCACTGCCTCCCTAGACAGGGTCTCACACTTTGATTTTCTCCCTTGATGGTTCCAGGGATCTCTGCTTCTGGACTGCAAAATCAGCCACTCCCCTCCTTTTGTTATCAAACAGTTACATAGACAACTTTTTGGGTTTCCTGAGTTGCTTTCTGGATTCTTTCCTTGTCTTTGGTTTTGGAGAGTTTGATCATGATGTCTTGGTGATTTTTATTTGGGATCTATGGTGCTATGCTGTAGGATAAGCACTCAACCACAAGGTCAGTTTTAACAACAACTGGAATAAGTGTAACCTGAGCATTTCTGATCCTGAATTGTAACCTGTTGTGTGTGTCTTGGTATGGCGTTGTGAGTTAATGCGCTGGACCAAAATGTTGCTTTGAACCACAAAGTTCAAGTTGCAGAGGGTACAGTTTTATGGCTGGACTGTATGGCATGGTCGCTGTGTACTGTTGGATGAGAAAGAGACAACCCCTCCCACACATACACACATGAGTAAACAAAAGAGAATAAATAAATAAGGAACCAACAATGAAAAGAGAAAAGAAATAAAAACAGGCCGCAACTAGAAAAAAGAATATAATAACTATAAAGACAAAAGACGGGGAAATGGAGCTACAGGAAAGAAATATAAGAGAGAAATACACAGAAGAACTAAACCCCTTAGGGATAACTTAAAGAGCTCTAGAGCCACCCTGTACAGGGTCGCTATGGGTCGGAACCGACTCGACGGCACTTAACAACAACAACAACAACAGAGCCACCCTAAACAGAGTCAGGTTCAGCATTCCGGGCTCCCTTCAAGGAGTGAATTGACTCCAAGGAAGGGCCCCCCGTAGAGACTAAGATAAGGAAGTTAGAGGCCACTCGATCAAAGAACCTGATGTCCCTATGGAGCATGTTGGGAGGAAGAGTCTGGAGGTAGCCCTCTTGTTGGTAAGTGCCATCGGATCCGTTCTGACTCATGATAACCCTGTGTGGGCTTTCCGAGGAGCAGCTGGTGGGTTTGAACTGCCAACCTTGTAATTCAGTTTAGTGCTGATCCTACAGCACCACACCAGGAGTCTGGAGCTAGCCCTGTGCTAGTAAAACATTAAGCCTGAGCAAGATGACGGACTGGGCAGACACATTGTATGGCTCCTCTATGGCAAAGATACCAGAGCCAGCCTGCCAGCTACTCCACGAGAGAAAGATGAGGTGTTCTGCCTCCCCAAAGATTTAAAAGTCACGGCCTTGGGTGAAGTATGGGCCCAGGTGAACTACTTCCTGGGTGAACTATGACCCAGGTGAGCTACAACGGTTCCCAGTAAGCAATGGCCCTGGGTGAACTACAACCTGCGTGAGCTACATGTCTCCGGGTGAACGGTGACCTGGGAGAAGCCCCGATATCCAAGCGAAAGAAGAAATTTGGAGGCATATTCAAAACTTCACACCTCAAGATACAGAGTTTGGGATTGGGATGGAAAGAGAAGAAGGAAGAGTAAAGAGTAAATAAATGAAAACAAACTAGAAAAGGGGGAAACCAAGCTTAAACCAACAAAAAAGTACAGCTGTTGAGCCAGAGAGGTACAAACTTTTGGAGTCTCCTGTAAGCCAGGGAGCTCACGAGGTGAGGTGGCTGTGGGAAGAAAGTGATGGCAGAGCTCCTGGCCCTAGATGGAGTTCCTATCAGCCAGGTGTTCTCTGTGTTCACGGCACTCAATCCTGGGGTCCCTTTAGGCAGCTGGTTTCAGTGTCTGTTAGGACCGCAGGGCAGCCGGGAGCAAGGTGACTGGTTAAATGCTGATCTGGGACTCTGAATTCTGGAGCTGAACCCACCTGAATCCAGACACCAAAGTGGCACTGCCCACCCCTGCCTCACATTGGCATGACTCCTGACCAGGTGATTCCGAACTCCTGGAGAGCAGGGTCTGCACTGGGGGTGGATGAGGGTGAGCTGCTCACAAGATGGTCTCGCTGTGTCTGGCCGGCCCTGCTCAGTCTTTCCTCCCAGCAAGCACTCGCTCAGTCCACTTCTCTAACCTGTATTGCGAAGTTCAGGGTCCAGGATTTTCATCTGTGTCCGTTTTATTGGCCTCTCATGTCTTTGTTGTAGAGGGTCCATGTAGTGCATCTGCCTAGTTCACCATCTTGCTGGAAGTCTCCCAGGATTCTGTTTTCTGATCCTTTCTGATCCTCTCTGTCTCTTGACTGATGCATTTAATCCATTCAGTGTAATTAATTATCGATAGGTATGGTGTGGGGTGCTGGAGGATACGCACTGACTGGACTGTTAACCGCAAGGCTGGCAGTTCAGACTCACCAGCCACTCCTCGGAAATCCTACACAGGATTGACTGAAGTCAGAACTGACTTGATGGCACTAAACAACAACAACATGAGTTGATTGCTCCCAGTTTGCTGCGGATTTTTCGGTGTTGCTGCTTTGTTCTGTATCATTTTGTGTTTTTTCTTTTCATTTATTTTGTGTTAATGTTTACTGAATCTATTTTCCTCTTTTTTATTTCGATGTAAAGGTGTATTAATTTTCTTCGAGGTGATCTTGTAATCCCTCCTCCCATTTAAAACAGTCTGTTTCATTTTGAAATCTTAGAATTTCTGTATCAATTGTGTTCCCTCTTTTTGTTTTGTAATTGACTGCATTATAAATTGTTATCTCTGACTCTCTATTTTCAGTCTTGTAGGTTGGTTTTACTTTTAATACTTTTATATCTGGATTTCGACTTTGGGTGGTGTTATCATGTATGTTAATGGCAAGTTGTTGTCTGCTTTTGTTGGTTCTGAGTCTAAAGAACACCCTTCAGTATTTTTGTAAAGTTGATCTGGTTATTAACAAATTCCTTTAATTTCTGTGTATCTGGAAGTGTTCCAATTTCGTCGGTGTATTTGTGGGACAGTTTTGCTGGGTATGTGATTTGTGGTTGCCATTTTTTTTTTTCCCTTGAGTTTTTTTATATGTCATCCCATTGCCTTCGTGTCTTCATGGTTTCCGTGGAGAAAGCAGAGCTTAGTTTTATTGGTTCTTCTTTGTAGGGAATTTGAATTTTCCCAAGCTGCTCTCGGGATCCTTTACTTGTCTTTGATATATATATACATGTATCAGTGATTTTCTTTTGAGATCTGTCTTGTTTGGGGTTTGTTCACCTTCTCGTATGCTTATATTCTTGTCATGATGTTAGGGAAGTTTTCTTCTAACAATTCTTCAATAATTTTCTCTCTGATTTTTATTATCTCTTCCTGTTTTGGAATTCCCAGTCACCCATAAGTTACTCCACTTCAAAGGGCACATGAAAGAACATTGGCTTTACACCATCATTTCATTGCAATGATTATAGTCTCCTCTGTGCATCATCATTCAACAGTATTTACTTTCATTCTCTCTCTTTGTTTTTCTGGGTTTTTTTTCTTATTTTGAAGGGTAGAGGTGTGTACACAAAAACACTCAGGAATAGAGAATCATTTTAACAACCAAAGAGCACTATTTCTGGTGGTGTTAGAGAATGGAAATGTGTAGACCATTCTTGTTCACTATTTATGTGCCTCAGTTTAGGGTGGGTTTGGCTGAAGTTGGCTTCTATCATTGATCATATGGTGTGTTGTAGTTGTTGTACAAGAGCCGATAATGGCTCTTGTCCATTTAGTGGAGCATCCGAGGGCACAGTTGTGGCTGGACTGTATGAGTAAGGTTGCTGTGTTCTGTCTGATGGGATGAAGGAGAAATACTCCACACTGACATACACATAAGAAAACAGAACAGAATAACCAACAATGAAAAGAATAAAGGAAGGAAAAGAAATAAGAACAGGCAGCAACCTGAAAAAAAGAATATAATAACTATAAAGACAAAAGACGGACCAGAAAATGGAGCTATAGAAGATAAAAAATAAGAGACCAAATAAAAGGAAGAAATTTTAACACTTAGAAAAATTAGGAAGCGGGAAGGTGAAAAGAGAAAGTGAAGAACAGTAAAGAAAGATCAAAAGGTACAAGAAGAAGAGGGGAAAATAAACAGAAGGAAAGAAAACAGGATCAAATTCAAGGGAATGGAAAGAGAAGAAGAAAGAAAAAATAAAAACAACGAAAGGAAGAAGCAACAACAAAAAACAGTGTAGCTGTTGGACCCAGAGAGGAGAAAACTCTGGGGTCCCCTGCCAGGCAAGAAGCTCACAACGTGGGTGCAGGAGGGATGCGACGGCAGAGTTTCTGGCCCTAGATGGAGTTCCTATCAGCCTTAGTGTTATCTGTGTTCAGGGCAATCGATCCGGAAGTAGTTCCTGGGGACCCTTGATGGAGTTGGTTTCAGTGTCTGTTAGGACCACAGGGCAACTGTGGGCAGGGTGGCTGGTTATGAGGGTTTCTGCTAGACTAATGCTTGTCTAGGAGTCCTGGTGGGGTGCTGTGGGATAAAGCACTGGACTGCAAGGTCAGTTTGAACTGCAAGGTTGGGGGTTCAAACTCACCAGCCATTCCTTGGAAACCCTATACAGGGTGGCTTTGAGTCGGAACCAACTCAGTGGCACTTAAACATCAACAATACTTGTCGGGTGGTTCTGTAAGTCTGGAGCCAAGCCAGCCTGCATCCAGGCACCAGAGTGACCCAGCCTGTCTTCATCTCCCTGGCAATGCTCCCAACCATGTGGCTCCAAGTTCCCGGACAGCAGGGTCTGTGCTGGAAGTGATGGGCATGGGAGCTGGCCACACCTCTGGTCACCAGGGGAGTGTAAGGAAAAAGAAGGAATTAGACCTTTCCTGTTACCTGTGTGAATCTTCTCTGCCAGGCCACCTTATGCCGCCAAAACTGCTCATAAAAGTTCAAAATGGTTGCACTGCGTTTGGCCTGCCATTCAGTAGTGAGTCTCCCTTTCATGTGGTCCCTGCTCAGCTTTTCAGAAAGCACTGAATCCACTTTCTAACCTTTCCTCAGAAGTACCTGTATCCAGGATTTCCATCTGTGTCTGTTTCATCTGGTCTCTTACCTTTGTTGTAGAGGATTCATGTAGTACATCTGCATAGCCCGCCCTCTTGCCAGAAGTTCTCACCTAGTAATGTTGTTATTTAACTCTTTATTATTATTATTGTGAACTGAGTGATAGTTTACATGGGAGAACATCGGCTTTACAACATCATTTCATTGCAATGATTACAATCTCCTCCATGCATCACCATTCAACAGTATTTGCTTCTATTCTCTCTGTTTGTTTTTTTCTTTTGGGGGGTAGGGGTGTGTACATAAAAACACTCAGGAATATATAATCATTTAAACAACCAAAGGGCGCATTCTGCAAGCCTACCTCCTGGCCACCAGCACTCAGTTCCTCTCTTTCCATGAGTCCAGAGTCCTCAGCTACTCCCTCTCTCCATGTCCTTATCTCTGCCTCCATCTCTGGGGTTCGCTGCTTCTCTGGATAGGGTCCCGCATTCCGCTTGTGCTCTTCTCCCTTGATGGTCCTAGGGTCCTCTGTTTCTGGACTGTAAGATTAACTACTCCCCTGGTGTTTTTTTGTGTGTGTGTATGTGTGTGTGTGTTTTAATGTTTTATTGTGAATTATGTGATAGTTTACATGGGAGAACATTAGTATTGTTTTATTGCCATGGTTACAATCTCCTCCATGCATCATCAACCAACCAAGGTTATACCCTGCAAGCCTACCCGCCCCCCGGCCCCCATCATCTCTGCCTCCATACTCCCCTGTTTTTGTTACAAAACTTCGTTTACAGTTGTGACAGGCACAATTAGTCATGATAACAGTTAGTCACTGTTGAATCATAAGACTCTTATCCCCATTTCTTTTCACCAGATCCATCTAGACAAGATGAAAACTAAGTCAGTTACTTTGTGCCTTTATCACCCCCTCATTTTAGGTAGCCAGTGTCTAAGTTGCCTGTCCCTATCTACCCTGTGTACAGAGGGGACAGGATTGATTGTTGATGTGAGGACACCTGCCCTCTCAGTTGGTATTTTGAACTACTACATCTCTAAGTATAAGGAGCTCTGGTAGCGTAGTGGTTACGAATCGGGCTGCGAACTGTAAGGTTAGCAGTTTGAAACTACCAACTGTTCACGGGAGAAAGATGAGGCTTTCTGCTCCCATAAAGAGTTACAGCCTTGGAAACCCTGTACAGAGTCGCTATGAGTTAGAATCGACTCCACGGCACTTAATCACCACCACATCTATAAGTATAGGTCAAGTTCATCAAATTGCAGCAATTTATACTCATTTCCTTTATCAAAATTGTTTTTTAAAATATTTTCCTCTAGTCGGGTTCTGATTATCAAGCTATTGAGGCTAGATCAGATGGATACTATCTGCAAATGTGGACTTTCTTGTGCGTCTCCCCTCACTTCCTATCAGCCGGATGCTTCACTCTCAGCTCTAGCTTAGTGAAGACTTTAAAAAAATAGTTTACTGACTCTTGACTCCTAATTGCTCCTTCCTCCCTGCCATGGCGCCTTTCCAGTCCCCATTAAATCCACCCCTTCTCCCCTGGATTCATCTTTTGTTCCTGGCACTACCCCAGCACTCCTGAACTTGGGGCTCCAGGCAGGGTCCTAAGCAGCAGGGTATTTCCCAGGTTAAAGTGGCTGCCCCCGGGGTCTCTGTGCTGATTCTGGTGCCTCCACTAACAAGCTGAGATATTACGGGGGCCTTCCCGTTCATTATCTGTAAAACCCCAGAGGGTTATTGTAAGGACTAAAGCAGGGTACCCTGTGCCTAGAAGGAACTCGCAGAGTAGTGGTTACTAATCGGGCTGCTAATCTCACAGTCAGCAGTTTGAAACTACCAGCTGTTCCTCAGGGGAAAGATGAGGCTTTCTGCTCCTGTAAAGATTTACAGCCTTGGAAACCCAATATAGACAGTGTCGCTATGAGCCAGTACCGACTACACAACACATAATCACCACCACAACCACCCGGCACCCGGTCTGGCCCTAAATGGTTCTCTGCAATTGCCAGCCTCGTAAACTGGCTTAATGTCCTACTGCTCTCCCCGGTGACTCTGACATTCTTCTGCCCAGCCTGGGTTTTAAGCATCATAGGCTGAGCACTCCCTCAGGGCCTCTGCTTGCTGTTCCCTCCTTCTAGAACACTCTTCTCTCTCCACTCTTCTGTCTCCCTGTCTTGATCCTTCGCATTCCTAGATGCCTTGATCCTTAGTGGGAGCTGCCATCACCCCATTTAAAAGTTCAGCTCTCCCCTCCCTAGCTCATTCTGTTCCCGTTTCTTTTTCTCTAGATCACTTTACACCATCTAACATATTATCTAATTCCTTATTTTGTTGTGTGTTTTTCTTCACTGGAGTCTAACTCTGTATAAATTCCAGGGGACTGTCTCCCAGCAGCTACAGCAGGACTTAGCATATAATGTCATGAAGGGTTTTTTTCTCCCCTGTCACCTTTAGGCCCATTTCCTGTCCCTTGACTTCACCTCCTTTTGAGCGGGCTCTGGGCCCAATCTCTTGGTCTTTCCTCACTTTCTCACCATTGCAGGTCATGGCTGGTTTCCGAGGGTTATGCTGCAGGCCCTGGAGACATCTCTCCTGACTGGTCCCCCGAGCACTGCCCGCCACAGGAGCCCGCTGAGCCCTCCAGTCCTGCCCCACGTCCAAACTTACTGCAGACACAACGCAAGCTGTTCACCCCACGACGTAGCCCTTCCATCACCTCAGAAGAGCCTTGGGGTCGCGAGGGGCCAGCGCTGCTGCTGCTCTCACGCTTCTCCCAGGCTCCCGACCCGAGTGGGGCACTCGTGACAGGCCCAGCGCTGAGTGGCCTGCTGGCCTACGTGACAGGTGCACCTGGCCCACCAAATCCACGCGCACTGCGCATCCTGGCGCGCCTTACCTGCAACCCTGCTTGCCTCGAGGCCTTCGTGCGTAGCTACGGTGCAGCGCTGCTGCGAGCCTGGCTGGTGCTCGGCGTTGCTCCTGACGACTGGCCTGCACCTCGGGTCCGACCTGCCCGCCGCAACCAGCACCGGGAACTGGGTGTGTCCTTGCTCCTCCCACCCACATGTAGGGTCCCGGGGCCCAGAACCTTGCCTTACTACTCCCAGGTACTTCCATTGTCTTCCCCAGCCTACAGCCCCCAACAGGCCCTGCCATTTTTGGGGGAGACTGGGGTGGGTATGCACAGGGTGGCATGTCATACTCCCTACTGCCCCAAGACTCCAGCATACAGAATCTTGTCCCATCTTCTGCCCAGATACCCTGACTCCAGCCTTGGACCCCACAACTAGATTCTTACCTGAAAGTGTTTCTTTACCTGTTTTGACTCTTGCCTCGGTGCTGCCTGACTCCTCTCTCCTCAGGCACATTGTGACTGAACCCCAGCACAGGCACCATGCCATCCCACTAGGCCCCTTCCTAACCACAGTCCATTTCAGGCCTGAGGACCCAGACTTGGGCTCTGACCACCCCGCTTGCTGTTCCTGCTGGTGATCTCCACTGCCTAGCACCTGCCTCAGTCTCTCCAGAGCCTGCAGTCAAGTCAGCTCCCTTGTCTGTGCGCTGACGATTTGCCCTGCAGTTTTGTCCTCCTGTCTCTCAGGGTCTGGAGTTCTGTCTCACCCCTCCCATCCCAATCTTGCCCGGGCCACCAGCTCCCATCTGACCTGCTCTGTCCATCCCTGTAGGTGAGATGCTGCTGCAGAACCTGACTGTGCAAGCTGAATCGCCCTTTGGAGTGGGTGCTCTCACCCACCTCCTGCTCTCTGGGAGCCCTGAGGACCGCGTGGCCTGCGCCCTGACCCTGCCCTTTATCTGCCGGTGAGGGGGATGGGCATGCCTCGTGGGGTGGGGATAGTGCCGTTACCTTTCCTCCATCTTGCCCCTTGGCCCTCCTGAAAGCCTCTCATCCATGTAGGAAGCCTTGTCTGTGGCGCCGGCTTCTTCTGGACCAGGGTGGCCTCCGTCTCCTCCTCGCAGCGCTGACCCGGCCAGCCCCACACCCACTCTTCTTCTTCTTTGCTGCGGACTCCCTCTCCTGCCTCCAAGGCCTGGTGTCTCCCACTGCGAGCCCAACTCACCCTCCATCCCTCCCTCCGGCAATACCCTTGGACCCAGACCTGCCCTCCCCTTGCCTCTATGAACCTTTGCTGGGCCCAGCCCCTGCCCTAGCCCCTGACTTGCATTTCCTACTGGACTCAGGCCTGCGGCTCCCTGCCCAACGGGCTACCTCTGCCACCGCCTCCCCGTTCTTCCGGGCCCTGCTAGCTGGGAGCTTTGTCGAAGCCCAGATGGACCTGGTGCCCCTTCGAGGGTTGTCCCCTAGTGCAGCCTGGCCAGTCTTGCATCATTTGCATGGCTGCCGGGGCTGTGGGGCTGCTCTGGGGCCCGTGCCCCCACCAGGCCAGCCCTTGCTTGGCTCAGAGGCTGAGGAGGCCCTGGAGGCTGCTGCCCGTTTCCTGCTGCCCAGGTTAGAAGAGGAGCTGGAAGAGGCTGTGGGCCATATTCACCTGGGGCCCCAGGGTGGTCCAGAGTCAGTGGGTGAGGTGTTTCGCCTGGGCCGGCCCCGGCTGGCTGCCCATTGTGCCCGCTGGACACTGGAGCAGGGACAGTGCCCACGGAAACGAGCCCTGGCCCTGACGGAGCTTGTGGAGGCAGCGGGGGAGGAGGCAGAACCACTGACTGAGGCTTTGCTGGCTGTGGTGATGGGGCTTGAGTCAGGGGGCAAGGGTCCCCGTCTAGACTGACTGTTGGTGTCCTCTGAGGGAGGACCTACAGATGAATCAGCTGTGAGGGAGGTACTCCCTCCGAGTGGTGATGGTGAAGGGGTCACAGCATGGGGAGAAGCTGGGCAGGAGGAGTTACAACACAGACTGAGGAGAAGATGGAACCAGACACCAGGATGTGAAGACCCAAGAAGGAGAAGACCAGGGTCTGGGCCTGGGTCCAAGAGAAGGAGAGTGGCCCAGGGTCCCGGGCCTCTGACCCGACCAAGCACTATAGAGTTGAGATTAAAAGACTCTAGAGTTGGATACCCCGATTATGTGGTGTCTCTGCTTGCTTTCCTATGGAAGTCCTTCCACCCCTTCACCATCAAGCAGGGCTGTGTCCTGGTCTTTATGGCTAGATATAGGCTACTCTTGGCATGGGGTTTAATAAATACCTGCACATTGGTTCCTGGAGCCCTGGGATACAACAGAGTTGCCAGGCTTCTCCTTGGGAGAAGGTTTGAGGGCCCGGGCGAAGTTTGCTTCCTGCTTCTGGAGCCTTACTGCTAGATGATGCATAACCCTTAGGGCTGAGGAGATCCTGCGAGTGTGGGGATGTGTGTCTGAGGCCTTGGCATTACTGTGTCCTAACTGTTTTTTGTCTTGGGTCTCAGTCTGTAGATCTGTGATCATCTCTTGGGCCACGTTTTCTGGCATCTGCCTGAGGGGAGACCTGGTGTGCTCCTGGTATCTCTGAGGCCCTGTCTTGGTCATACCCAGAGAGAGAACTGAAACTCTGGGCTGGTGTTCAGATGAGGGAGGGCTCACATTGCTTTGATCTCCGAGGTAGGGACTCCCATCACCTGGTTCCTAGATCCCCCAGCCACTGGCGTGGCAGTGTGACTTTCAGGAGCCTGGACTATACCTGTGGTGCTTTGCCCCTGAGGAGTTAAGGTTGGCCCTTGTTGTCTCTGTGCTTCTGTGGATATTTGCCAAGGTGTCTGGTTTTCAGGCAGTACATTAGAACCACCCAGAGAGCTTTCAAAAGCTACAAATGCACTGAACAAAAAGACAGCTCAATCATAAAATGGGCAAAGGACTTGAATAGATAATTCACCAAAGAGGATATTCAAATGGCCACCAAACACATGAAAAGATGTTCAACATCATTAACCATCAGAGATGCAAATCAAAACCACCATTTCAATCCAAATAGGATGACTAAAATTAAAAAAAAAAAAAAGAAATCCAGAAAATAATTATTGTCCAGGCTGTGGAGAATTGCTGATGAGAATACAAAACGATACAGCCGTTGTGGAAAGTAGTGTGGCAGTTCTGAAAAAAAAAAAAACTGAAAATAACCACGTCGTAGGTCTGTTGAGTCAGTTCCAACTCCTAGCAAATGTTCTGTGTACAGTGGAACAAAATTTCCAGGTGCTGTACCATCCTCATAGTCCTTCCTGTGTTTGAGCCCATTGCTGCAGACACTGTGCCAGTCAGCCCCATTTACTGCCCTGCCAAGTACGAAGCCTTCCAGAGAGTGGTCCCTCCTGATGACCCAGTAATTCCACTCCTAGGTATATGACCCAAAGACTGAAAAGCAAAGACTTGTACATCAATGTTCATTGCAGCACTATTGACTAAAGATAACGGTGGAGACAACTGAAATGCCCATCAGTGGATGAATGGATAACCAAAATGTGGTGGTGGTGTTAAGTGCCATCAAGCTGGTTCCGACTCAGTGACCCTGTATGGTTTCCAAGGAGCAGCTGGTGGGTTTCAACTGCTCACCTTGTAGTTTGTAGTCCAATGCTGATCCTACAGTGCCACATCAGGAGTCTTTAAGGGAACAAAATGTGGCACATCTTTATAGTTGCATACTACGTAGTAAGAAATGACTTATTGCTCCATGCTACAATATGGATGGAATTTGAAAACATGCGAATAACATAAGGCAGTGTCAATGGGACAAATATTGTTTGTATGATCTCACAAAAACTTATCTGTCAGTTTGTCACACTGTGGTGACTTGCATATTGTGATGCTGGAAGCTATGCCAGTAGTATTTGGAATGCCAACAGGCTCACCCATGGTTGACAATTTCAGCTAAGCTTTTAGACTTAAGACTCGGAAGGAGAGGTGGACTACTGCTGAATGTTTAGCCACTGGAAGCCTTAAGAATAGCAGTGGAACATTGTCAGCAAAAGACTACTGAATATTGAAACATAACAAATAGCACCAAAATATTGTTAGATATAGTGCTGGAAGAAGAGCCCGACAGGTTGGAAGTCACTCAAAATGCGGCTGGGGAAGAGCTGCCTCCTCAAAGTAGAGCTGACTGTGATGACATGAATGGAATAGAGCTCTTTGGGACCTTCATTTGCTGATGGGGCACAACTCAAAATGAGAAACAGCTGCAAACATCCATTAATAATTGGAACATGGAATGTACAAAGTATGAATCTAGGAAATTTTTAAGTTGTCAATAATTAAATGGAGCGTAAACATCAATATCCTAGGCATTAGTGAACTTAAATGGGTTGATATTGGTCATACTGAATCTGACAATCACATAGTTTACTATGCTAGAAATGACACATTGAAGAGGAATGGCACCACATTCAACATCAAAAAGAATATTTCAATATCTTGAAGTAGAATGCTGTCTGTGATAGGATAATATCCATACACCTACAAGGAAGACCAGTTAATACCACTATTATTCAAATTTGTACACCAACCACTAAAGCCAGTGATGATGAAATTGAAGAATTCTACCAACTTCTTCAGTCTGAAATTGATCAAACATGTAGTCAAGGTATATTGATAATTAGAATGCAAAAGTTGGAGACAAAGAGGAAGCATCAGTAGTTGGAAATACGACTTTGATGATAGAAATTATGCTAGAGACCATGTCAGAATTTTCCAAGACCAATGACTTTATTGCAGATAACTTTTTTAAGCAACATAGAAGACAATTACACACATGAACTTCACCAGATGACATACACAGAAATCAAATTGACTACATATGTGGACAGGAGCTCTTGCACCATAGTGGTTATGAGTGGGGCTGCTAACCTAAAGGCCAGCAGTTTAAAACTCCCAGCTATTCTGCAGGCCCAAGATGAGGCTTTCTGCTGCCATAAAGAGTTACAGTCTCAGAAACCCTATACAGGGTAGCTGGAGTCAGAACTGACTCCGCAACATAACACCACCACCACATCTGTGGAAAGAGACGCTGGAAAAGCTCCATGTCATAAGCTAAAACAAGGCCAGAGGCAGACTGTGAAGCGGCCCCATCAATTGCTCATGTGCAAATTCATGCTGAAGCTGAAGAAAAAACAAGTCCACAGAGCCAAAATAGGACCTTGAACATATCCCATCCAAATTTAGAGATCATCTTTAGAACAGATTTGATGTTTTAGACACTAATGACCAAACACCAGAAGAGTTGTGGGATGACATCAAGCACATCACACAGGAAGAAAACAAAAGGTCATTAAGAAGGCAAGCAAGAAAGACATGACCAAAGTAATGTCAGAAGAGTCTGAACCTTGCTTTCCAGCACAGACCTGCTAAAGCAAATGGAAGAAATGAGGTCAAGGCTGAACAGAAAAAGTTCAAAGGGCAGCTTGAGAAGACAAAGTAAAATACTACAATGAAATGTGTAAATATCTGGAGTTAGAAAACTAAAAGGGAAGAACATGCTCAGTATTTTTTAAGCTGAAAGAACTGAGGAAAAAAATCAGGCCTCGACTTGAAATAATGAAGGATTCTTTGAGCAAAATATTGAATGAGTCAGCATCCAAAGAAGATGGAAGGAATACACAGAGTCACTGTACCAAAAAGAAGTCAGGTGGAGAGATGGAGCAGTTGAGGACTTCGACAGAGAGGGAGAGGGACTGTGTGCTGACGACCTGGGGGCAGGCTTGTAGTGTATACCCTTTGGTTGGTTCATGATGCATGGAGGGGATTGTAACCATGGCAATGAAATGATATATGATAGGAACTTAATGTTCTCCCATGTAAACTATCACATAATTCACAATAAAACATTAAAAAAAACCAACAACAGTATTCAGCTAGTTGAAGAGGTAGCATATGATCAAAAGCCAATGGTACTGAAGGAAGAAGTCTAAGCTGTACTGAAGGCATTGGCAAAGACTCTGGGAATTGATGGAATACAAATTAAAGTCTTTCAACAAACTGATGCAGCACTGGAGGCACGCAACTATGCCAAGAAATTTGGAAGACAACTACCTGGCCAACTGATTGGAAGAAATCCATATTTGTGCCCATTCCAAAGAGAGGTTACCCAACAGAATGCAGAACCCATCGGAAAATGTCAATAATCGCATACAAGTCACATTTTATTCAAGATAATAAAAAAAATGGTTGCAACATTACATTGAAAGAGAACTGCCAGAGATTCAGCCAGATTCAGATTAGGACATGAAATGAGGGATATCATTGCTGACGTCAGAAGGATCTTGGCTGAAAGCAGAGAATACCGGAAAGATGTTTACTTGTGCTTAATTAAGTATGCAAAGGCTTTCGGCTGTGTGGATAATGGCAAGCTGTAGACCACATTGCATAGTATGGGTATTCCAGAACACTTAATTGTGATGAGGAACATGTTGTGTTCATAGACCAAGAGGCAGCATTCAAACAGAACAAGAGGACACTGAATGGTTTAGAATCAAGAAAGGTGTGCACTAGGGATGTATTCTTTCACCATATTTACTCTTATCTGTATGCTGAGCAAATATTCTGAGAAGCTGGATTATATGAAGAAGAAGGTGGCATCGGGATTGGAGGTAGACTCATTAACAGCCTGCGATATGCAGGTGATACAACCTTGCTTGCTGAAAGTGAAGAGGACTTATAATATTTACTGATGAAGATCAAAGACCACAGACTTCAATGGGTTGCACCTCAATGTAAAGAAAAGAAAAATCCTCACCTTAAAAATATCCTCTGAAGTCTTCTTAAAACCAAACAATAGTTTAGCTCAACTGGTGAAGGATGTCTACCTTGAGCATTGTCTTCTTTTAAGATCTATATGTGAGATCAAAGTAACAACAACAACTCAAGAGATTAGATAAGAGGCCTTATGCGACAGTAAGTTTATATTATTGAGGGAGAAACAACTCAAGGAAGGTGAAAATAATTGTGAAGAATGTAATCAATGTCACTGAATTATACATGTAGAAACTTGAATTGGTCTATGTTCTGCTGTGTACAGTCTCAATGATAATAAAAATAAATTACATAATGTATCTACAAGTGCCTAGGCTCAGTTTGATCAAATTAGACTGGGGGATGCCTAGGGCATCAGTATTTTTGAATTTTTATAATGAATTGTGTGATAGTTTACATGGGAGAACATCAGTTTTACACTCATCCTATCTTATTTTATTACAATGATTACAATCTCCTCTGTGCATCATCATTCAACAGTATTTGCTTCTAGTCCCTCTGTGTTGTTTTTGTTTTGTTTATGTATACAAAAACACTCAGGAATGTATAAACATTTAAACAACCAAAGGGCACACTCTGCAAGCCTGCCTCCTGGCTGCCAACATTCAGTCTTTCTCCTTCCATGAATTGAGTCCTGGAGTCCTCAGCTGCTCCCTCTCTCCATGTCATCCTCTCTGCCTCCATCTCTGGTGTCACTGCTTCTCTGGATAGGATCCCACATTCTGCTCATACTCTTCTCCCTTGATGGTCCTGGAGTCCTCTGTTCCTGGAATGTCAGATTAACTACTCCACCCTTTTTGTTATAAAACATTTTTTTTATGTTTCTCAGGTTGTTCTGAACTACTCTTGGGTTGACATCCAGCTTGTTCCGATCTACCTCGGTTGATGCTCACTTTCCAGTGCTCAGGACTACCTTAGTAAATTGACTACAGCACAATTGTGTGTATATAAAATGTCTCATTTCCACGTTGATTTCCCAGGGTGTTAGTCCAGGGAGGCTTTCCTATGGCTGGTGACTGCCTTGCTTTCTTGTCTGTGTTCAGTATCTTGGGTCACCTCAGTGTTGGGGATGGGTTTTGCCTTGAAGATTCCCTAGGACCTGGATCTGACTTATATCTGTATGCCTATTTCCAAGTCTTGCAGGGAAGGTCCCAAGGTAGTCTGGGTGGGTTTACTGCCTGACTAGGTCTCAGATTTCTTTGTCTAGTATGTGTGTCTTTCCGGATCTTTGTTTAAGTGCTTGCCTGTCAGGGTCTCTGGACCTGGGCTCACTCTTGTTCCCAATCTAAAAGTTCTTTGAGATCTACTTCCCAGGAATGATCTGGGTGGCCGGAGGCTCTTTCTAGGACTCAGGTGCTGAGCCTCATTGGACACCGGGGTTCCGGGGCTTGGTCTGGAAGAGCGCTCTCTGACTTCTTGGACAACGGTCAGTCTCAGTCGCCTGGGAATCCGGCAGCTGAGGCCAAGGCTGGGGTGTGGCCGCCTCTGTGGCAGACCGGCGGCGGGGCCTGGGTGGGCCGCTGCCTTCTCTCCCTTCCACGCCCCCACCCTGGGTTCCCTCGTTCATGCCCCCCCCATCCCCATCCCAGCGGGTCCCAGCTTCCTTACATGGTCACAGCCGGGCCTCCAGCTCCCGGACGTCCCCCTGCCCCCGCCCCCACCGGACACGGCCCCCGCCCTGCTCGCCCCGCGCAGCCGGCCCACGCCCCGCCATGGAGGACCTGGGTGAGTGGAGCCCGGGTCCCTGCGTTCCACCCAGGAGCCCTCTAGTGCTCCCCATCCCTGCCTCGCGTCTTCTCTCTCCTGCTTCTGGCCTCTGCCCTGCGTCTCCTTTCCCACTCCACGTCTCCTTTCCTGCCTCTCCTTTCCTGCCAGCCGCTCTCTCCCTTCTTCCCTCCCTCTATTCCTCCATCCTTGGCTGCAGGCGGATGGACTAGGAGGTGCAGCGCCCCGGAGGGCGTCTCTGCTCCAGCTCTCTGGGAAGGGAGGTCCGGGTCTGGGAACTGAAAGAGTGGAAGAGGGAGGAGAGGCAGAGCTTGACTGGGAATTCTACAAGGTTTGGGGAAGGGAAGGAAGAGTTAAGGGCTCCCAAGTAGGAGTACGGGTCAAATCCTTGGGGCAAGAAAGAGCACAATAAAGGAGTGTAAAGATGCCAGAGAGCGAGGTTAAGGGTTTCACCATGGGGATGAGAGATGAGTAAAGGGGCATGGACTTTTAGGTTCTGGAAGGGAAATGGTTAAAAGAACCCAATTCTGGAGGAAGGAGGAGGAGGTTTTGGGGCTGACGAGCAGCTGGGGCTGGAAAGCAGTGTCCTCCAAGGGAGAAAAGGGGTTCCAACACTCTCCAGTAGAGGGTGCGCCTCAGTAAGGGTAATGGGCAATGGCAGTGTGAAGAAAAAGCCAATCAGAAGTCAGGTCCAGGCCGACTCGCCAATGAGGAGCAGAGTGGGACCCAGTGGAACCAACCGGGAGGTGGTCCAAAATCGGGAGGGGCCTGATTAGGTAGAGGGAGAAATTAGCGCATGTGGCAGAGGGAGCATCCAATCAGAAATCTGGATGCCAGGCATACAGCCAACTGAGCAATTTGGGGTGGAGTCAAACTTGACTTGAGAAAGCCAATTTTGACTACATTTGGAAAGATGGAGAGAATAAAAAGAATTAAGTGGCTGGGTTCGTGCTTGACTCCCAAGATGAGGGGACAGGGTGTTCTGGTCATTAGTATTTCATGTTGCCCTTTCACCTCTCTGCCTTGGTCTGGCCCTGGGTTTCCTTCGGATTCGTGACCTCTGCTGTCAATATTGACTTACGTCTTTTTCAAAACCTGCCCATTAGGAACCCTTATCCTCTAGTCTTTGAAGACCCTGTCTCAGCTCTCTAATTCCTGGTGATTTGAAACGTAGTCTCTAACTCCAGATGACCTAATCTTGACCCTTCAACCCCTGACTTTTTCTTTCCCTGCAGATGCTCTGCTTTCTGACCTGGAGACCACTACCTCACACATGCCAAGGTCAGGGGTTCCAAAAGAGCGGCCCCCAGAGCCACTCACGCCTCCCCTTCCCTATGACCACCAGACTCAGGTGAGGTCAAATGCTGGGGGCTGGGCCAAAGCTAGGGAAGTCTGGGCTTCAGTGAGGCATATTACAAACCTGACATTCCACCCCCCAACACACACACACACACATCTCTTCTTTTTGTAGACAGGGCCTGGGGAATCTTCAGGAGCATCTGGGGACAAGGACCATCTGTACAGGTGAGGTGCCTGGCAATCTGGGGGATAGGGAATCCACTTGAGGCTCAGTGAAGGGGCTTGGGTGCTCCACTCCTGAGCTCAGGCTGCACCCTATTCCCCAGTACGGTATGCAAGCCTCGATCCCCGAAGCCTGCGGCCTCTGCCGTCCCTCCATTCTCCTCTTCCAGTGGTGTCTTGGGCACTGGGCTCTGTGAGCTAGACCGATTGCTCCAGGAACTTAATGCCACCCAATTCAACATCACAGGTAATAAATAGGGTTATTGAGACAGGCTTTGATGGGATGTGGGGTGGGCAGGGAAGGACAGAGACTAAGGATCAGAGACATTCCAGAGCAACTGCTAAAGCATACATTGGGAGGGGCAGGGGTCTCTGAACACAACCCATGTCCAGGCGCCCTTCTCTCCTCTCTCCAGATGAAATAATGTCTCAGTTCCCATCTAGCAAGGCAACTGCAGGGGAGCAGAAGGAGGACCAATCTGAGGATAAGAAAAGGCCCAGCATGTGAGTGTGGCATATTGTCAGGGCTGAGAGAGAGGTGACAGGGGCCCTGGATGCCCCGGTTACTGGAGGGAGCATCTGGAAGACACTGAGGTTGAAGATACACTGTCTTCACAGCTCTCCCAGCCCATCCTCTGGCCTCACAAAGCCTTCAGCCACCTCGGCCACCCTGGAGCTGGATAGGCTGATGGCCTCACTCTCTGACTTCCGAGTCCAGAACCATGTGAGTCAGGCAGGGGGGTGAGTTGGTGTCAGTTGAGATTCTCCAACACTCTAGCTCCTTCCACATCTGTCCCCTTGCTGATTCAACTCTCATGTCCTTCCTCATCAGCTTCCAGCCTCTGGGCCAACACAGCCTCCCGTGCCAAGCTCAGTGAATGAGGGCTCCCCATCCCCACCAGGACCAACCAGTAAGGGCAGCCTAGACACCATGCTGGGGCTGCTACAGTCGGACCTCAGCCGCCGTGGTGTTCCCACCCAGGCCAAGGGTCTTTGTGGCTCCTGTAATAAACCCATTGCTGGGCAGGTAAGTGGAGCCCCACGAAAGGGGGCAGGTATCCACAGACCATTCTTTACTGAGAGCTAGACTTGGTGCTGTTTCCTTTACATGAGTAACTCTGTGAAGTGGCTACTATGGTTACTCATATCAAATGGACCAGGACACTGAAACTTTGAGTCACATAGCAAGTAGGTGACAGTATCAGAATTTCAACTCAATTATCATGTATTGTGGTCCTACTCTCTGCCAGGCACTGTGGAGCCCCTTTTAAAAAAATAAAACCCATCAAATGTAATCTTCACAAAAGCTTTGCTGGCTCCACTCACTACTCCTCAGCCATCTACCAAGACTCTTCCTTCACCACCAGAGTCTGGTCTGGGAGCACTGGTTCTTGGCTTGACTGAGCAGATGTGATTGACAACAACTGTGTCCAATAGTTGACCAACATCCTCCTGCTAGCTAAGTGCCCATCCCAGAATGGCTTGACTGAGCAGATGTGATTGACAACAACTGTGTCCAATAGTTGACCAACATCCTCCTGCTAGCTAAGTGCCAACGCTAGCAAAACAGAGCAACATTATGACGTTTGTGAGGCATTTGTGCCTGCATGGGTTCCTTTCTCCATAAATATATTTTACTACCCAGTATTTAAGGAGCTCTGGTATCATAGTGGTTATGAATCGAGCTGCTAACCTCGAGGTGAGAAGTTCGAAACTACCAGCTGTTCCGCTGGAGAAAGATGAGGCTTTCTGCTCCCATAAAGATGGACAGCCTCAGAAACCCTATGCAGGGTCGCTATGAGTCAGAACCAATTCCACGGCACACCACCACCACCCAGATTTTATTACTGCATGAATATCAAGCTGAATATATTGTTGTATATTAAAACATTTTCTTCTGGTTTATTTTGTCTTCTGATATTAAAAGAAATTCAAGCATGTTCATAGGCCCCTACTAATATTTTGTGCCCAAACCCTGCCTGCTGTGCCTTTGTAGCAAAACTCAAAGACCTGGGTTGAATCTCTCTCACTCACACTCTGCATGACCTTGAAGATTCTTTCCCCACTGCAGGCAGTAGTTTCCATTCTGACCTCTCAGCAGTAAGACTGGGAAGGCGCTATATGCAACTGAATCCACTCTGGTCCCTGCTTCATTCCAACCGGCAGGTGGTGACTGCCCTGGGCCATGCCTGGCACCCGGACCACTTTGTTTGCGGTGGCTGTTCCATGGCCCTAGCAGGCAGCAATTTCTTTGAGAAGGATGGAGCACCCTTTTGCCCCGAGTGCTACTTTGAGCGCTTTTCACCAAGATGTGGCCTCTGCAATCAACCCATCCAACACGTGAGTCCCACCAGGCCTCACAGCCACCTGTGGGGTGAACCTCAGCGTCTGGGCCCGCCCTCTCATCAGGCCTTAGCTTCGGAGACCTCCGCCACGCACAGTCCACCTTGCAACTTTCCCCCTTGCCCTTTGGACTTCACCATCTGCCCTTGTCTCCCAAGATCCCTTAGTTCTCCAGTGCCTTAGCATCTACCTCAGCCCACCTACTAGGTCCTAGTTGAAGAGGGAGAAAAGAAGAGCTCTATACTGCGTGTTTTCTTTCTTTTTCTGCAGAAAATGGTTACCGCCTTGGGCACCCATTGGCATCCGGAGCATTTCTGCTGCGTCAGTTGCAGGGAGCCGTTTGGGGATGAAGGTAAGAGTTTGACACCCATCTTAAAAGCTGGATGTCCCGCACCGCCCCTCTACTCAGCCCGACCCTGGGTCCCTCTGGTTCCTCGAGCTCGGACCTCCCGAGTCCTACCGCGGAATTTTCTCCAAGTCGCTTCTGATCCCTCCCTCTCCTCTCCGTGGGTCCCAGACCCCGCCCACCCCTCCTCTCCCGCAGTGCCGGCTCCGCGACCCTGCTCCAGCCTACTGCTCGGTGCGGGATCTATTGGGCCGCGGAGTCTCGGACCTGGAGGTCCCCAGTCAGACACGGCGCCCTCTGCTATCAGTCCAATCTGTTCCTGCCCCCAGGTTTCCACGAGCGGGAGGGCCGCCCCTACTGTCGCCGGGACTTTTTGCAGCTGTTCGCCCCGCGCTGCCACGGCTGCCAGGGTCCTATTCTAGACAACTACATCTCGGCGCTCAGCGCGCTCTGGCACCCAGACTGCTTCGTCTGCAGGGTGCGCTGCTGTAGGGTGGGGCTCTGGCGGGCAGGGTCATCGAGAGGTGGGATATGGGCCGGGGGCGGGGCCCTGGCTTCCTGTTTGCGGAGGGGCAGCGGAGTCACACGGCGGGTATTCAGGGCTCCTTCTCAGCACTGAAGTTTGGCCACTGACTTTCCCTTTCGCCACCGCCCTTCTCCAGGAATGCTTCGCGCCCTTCTCAGGAGGCAGCTTTTTCGAGCACGAGGGTCGCCCGCTGTGTGAGAACCATTTCCACGCGCGGCGGGGTTCGCTGTGCGCCACGTGTGGCCTCCCAGTCACCGGTCGCTGCGTGTCGGCCCTGGGCCGCCGCTACCACCCAGACCACTTCACCTGCACCTTCTGCCTGCGCCCGCTCACCAAGGGCTCCTTCCAGGAACGCGCCGGCAAACCCTACTGCCAGCCCTGCTTCCTCAAGCTCTTCGGCTGACCGCGCACCGGGCTGTCGGGGACCCACGTCCTCCTGACCCCAAGGCCCGGCTCTTTGAGCTGGAGGCTCCCCCTAGACCCCGTTCTGTCAGCCCACCTCCCCGTCCCGAGAGACCCAGCCCCTAAGGTACTCTGCGTTCTGGGTCAAGTTCAGAAATGGCTTCGCCAGTTCTAAAGCCATACACCCCACTGATGGGTCGTACACTGAAGGTAGATTCCACGTGAACCCCTCACTCTATCCCCACTCTCGAGAGAGCCCCCCAACGGCGGGTGGGGGAGCTGGCAATCCTGACGAATCGAATTAGAAGTCAGGGCAGGCCGTCCCTGCGCCCTCACCGTTCTGTGCACCTTTTTCTACCTGCATAAACACCTTCCACGCTTCGCTGGTGCTGTGTCTCTCCGATTGCGGGGTGCAGAGCCCTTCCTCTGGACGCCCCGCCCCTTCGTCTGTCCCTGCTTCTAGACCACTATCGGTGTGGCAGGAGCAGAGCCGGCAGAACAGACTCTCTCCCAACAAGAAGCCACTCCTGGTACTCAAGTATAAGATGAGCCTGAGGTTGGAGAGGGCGGCGACCCGGAAGGGATAGTACAGTTAGTGGCGACCCAGGCCAGCTCATGCTAAATCATTATTGCCACCTTCCAGATCCTTAAAATAAGCAGTTAGTGTGGGTTTTGATTTTTCTTCTTCTTCTTCTTCTCACCCTTTGTTTGGTTCCCAAAATTATTTTTTCCTTAAAAGACCCTTGGAGATAGGGCTCCATCCAGGAGTGCCCGCTTACCCACTCTTTGCATCTGGGCACTAAGACAGTAATACTGACCCACACCATCTGCAATAGCCTGTAGGTTTCATGTCCACATGACTCCAACTTATCCTCACCCTTCAACACCCACATCAGACACCCTCCAGATTGTGATGAATCTGTCAAATGTGTAGGAATTACCCAGAAGAAGGCAGCAAAATTGGCATGTCCAAAGCAATTGCTTACTTTCCCTCTTGGTTTATCAGTTACTCCTCAAGGCCTCCCCTGGCTTGGTTCTGTGCTCTGAGGTGTTGGGTCTGAACAGTCCTGCCTAGGGGGACACCTAAATTGAGGATGACACCTGGAGCTCCTAACCCAGACTAGGGATCAAGGAAAGCTCCCCCGGAAAGGTGATTCCTGAGCCAAGTCCCAGCAGAGAAGCTGACAATCGAGTAAGGGGAACAGATGACAAATACACAGTATGATGAAGGAATGGGGTTTTCCCCAAAAATAGCTCTTTCCCCTTATTTCTACCCTACAGTATCTTTCTAGTCTCTTCATAACACTTGTCACTTTTATAAATGTTAAGTGCCATTGAGTTGGTTCTGATAGCAACCCTGTAAAGGGTTCCTGAGGAGCAGCTGGTGTGTTTGAATTGCCACCTTGCGGTTCAAATCGACCTTGAGGTCCAGTGCATTATCCTACTGAAATCAGAGTTAGTTCGTTTATTGGGTATTTGTGTCTGTTTCCAACACTGGAAGGCAAGCTCCCTGAGAGCAGAGGACATATCTGGTTTGCTGACTCGTGTCTTTCCAATTATCAGGAATGGTGTGGAAAGTGCCCATTAAATGTTTGCTACATGAAAGAAAAAGAGGGATGAAGGAAGACTAAGATAGAGAAGACTGGGAAGGGCTCAGTTTAACCTGGTAGTCAGGAAAATCCTCTCTGGAAATGTGATGTTTAAGCTGAAAGTTGAAGGAGTTGGCCAAAGAGCTGGGGGAGAGCATTCAAGGCAAAGGAAACCGCAAGTGCAAAAGCTTGTTGCTATGTGCGTTCAAGTCAGTTCCGACCCATAGCAACCCTGAATCAGGTTTCGAGGCTGTAAATCTTTACAGGAGCAGAAAAAGCCTCATCTTTCTCCCACGGAGCAGCTGGTAGTTTCGAACTGCTGATCTTGCAGTTCGCAGCCCAATTCATAACCACTATGCTACCAGAGTGCAAAAGCTAAGAGGTAGGAAAATGCTTGGCATATTGTAAGAAAAGAAAGAAGTCCAGTCTAGAAGATAATGTTAAAGGGGAAACAGGTCACACCACAAAAAGCCCATTCAACCACACGGGTTTTATTTTAAGTGCCTATGAGCCAAATGTGTCTTCTGGCATTTGCCCCTGGCCTTCTCTTAGAAACTGGAAACTCATCACCCACTGAAGCAGACACTGTGGGTGCCTTGTCCAGTCATCTGACTCACCTAGGAAGCCATATGCAGATAGTGCCCACATTTCCCAACTGCTCCCTGAGGACATTTTCTAGGGTAGGGAGCACACTTCATGTATTGGGCAAGCCTGAAGTGTGCATGGGAATTCTCTGCGATCTTCAGCCAGTGAGATAGAAATTGGTGAATAAATAACCCAGCTTCCTGGCCCCGTGAGGGGCAGTTCTGAGCTGTGTTCTTCAGTCTCCTGGAGGGCTTCTATTGGGCTGGAGTCCAAATTGCCCTCAGTGATCAAACCACACGCTATTGGCTTCTCTGCTTTCTTTGTCTCAGTTCCTCACTCCTTCCCAGTTCTCCCTGGGATTATTCACCAAATAAAGCCCTTGCACCCAAATTCTTGCCTCAAGATCTCTTCTGAAGGAAGCCAAACTAAAACACCCCTTAAACAGAACTCATAGTCCCCTAAAATATTTTTCTGTGTTCTGCATCTCAGGGATGACCCTAGCTGCTGTAAACAAACAGGAGTCCTCCTCTACAGTTCTCCCAGATTCAGAGATAATCAATAAGAAAGGTAGGGGTACAGTTATTCACCCACCTCCTCCCTTTCTATACCTGGCTTTGTGAATTAGGTTCCTGCTCTTGGGGCATTCAAACAGTCTATTGGGTAGACAGACCTAGACCCATACAAGGATCGCACGGTGAACTGTGAGTCAGAAAATTCAGAGGAATCCCTAAAGAGACAACATGACTTGGTACTGATGGTTGAGTAGGCGTTAGTATGTGGAAGAGGGCACGCTAAGCAGAAGACACAGGTGTGGAGGTATGAAAATGTGAACGGGGCAGGGACCTCGGAAAGGAATCGGTTCACTGTCAGATTGTTATGGAGGAGCAAAGAGAAGCATGAAAAGATATGGTAGACCTTGACTATCAGACGGCGAGCTTGAACTTCCTCCTGAGAGTGGTAGGGAGCTATGGAGGGGTTTTGAGTAGGGGAGTGACACTGTTAAGAGTTGAGTTAGAAAATGATTCCTTTGAATGTGTAGAACCAGGGAGCTGGCTCAGTTGGGCTCCTTAGGTTGAGACTTTGCTATTGTTAAGAGTTGTCGAGTCAGTTCCGACTCATAGTAACCCTGTACAGGGTTTCCGAGGTGCAGTTGGTGGGTTTGAACTGCTGACCTTTCGAATCAAACAAATCTTTTGTGCTTATCCTACAGTACCACACCAGGTTGGGACTAGGGTGGATGAAATGGGGGATTTTGAGCCTGGGTATTGGCGTGGGTGGGGCTAGGAAAGACTGCTCCAGAACTTAAAAGGGTCCTCAGGGCTAACTTTGGCCTTGATAAGACCTGATTCAGCTGAACAAAGCTGGGGAGCGGGGAACTTGCCGGCTCACTGCCCTTGAGGTAACCATTAATCCCTCCCCTGGGGGAGTCCAGAAGCTGGTCCCTTGAGGGGCAGAACCTTGGAAGAATGGAAGCACTCACAGAGGCAGGCTCAGCCCCAGGTTTGGGGAACCAGAGGGCCCTAATCGACAACCCTGCTGACATCTTGGTCATTGCCGCATATTTCCTGCTGGTCATTGGTGTCGGCTTGTGGGTGAGTCATAGGGTGCTGCTGGAGACCAGGTCTCTGAGGCCTGGGGGGAAGTTTCAGGTAAACCCCATGGTAAGGGTGGGGGCAGGCTGCCTGGATTTTTGAGGAGGAGGAGATCCCCAGTTGGGAGGCAAGCAGGTCTTTTGAACCTCAGGGATGCCCAGTCAACATTCATTCCTTGTCCCACCCACCCCCGCTTTGGATCGAACTACTTGAGGAGATTGTTGGATTTTCATTAGGGTCAGCATTGAAGATGAGGCCTCTGTTCCCCTGTCCACATTTATGACTGACCAGCAGCAGCCTGTAGCTAAGGTCCCCAGAAAAGTCAGGCCAAATCCAGTCAAGCTCAGGTGCCTGAGAGGAGATGGGATGCAGGGAGATTAGGGATCCAAGCATTGGTTAACCTTCAGCCTGAAACAAGACTGAGGAATTATTAAGAAGGCTAATAGTCCCAAGTTGTGCCCTGAGCTCAGGTCTTCCTCACTCCTCTTCCCCAGTCTATGTGCAAAACCAATAGAGGCACCGTTGGTGGCTACTTCCTGGCTGGACGGAGCATGGTGTGGTGGCCGGTAAGCAGGGTTGGGGTGTGGAGGGGGTGGGAAGGCCTAGGGAGGCAGTCTAACTCACCGCACCTCTGGCCACCCAGGTTGGGGCCTCTCTCTTTGCCAGCAACATTGGAAGCGGTCACTTTGTGGGCCTGGCCGGGACTGGCGCTGCAAGTGGTTTGGCTGTGGCTGGATTTGAGTGGAATGTGAGACCCCCATTTTCTCCAATAATCCTGCTTCCAGTGGGAATCCCTGGGAGAACCGTACCTGGGGATACTTCAGAGTTGGGACTTTCCATTTGTGTGCTGGGGTTAGGTTGGGAATAAGTGTGATGGGGTCCAGCTCAGAGGTGGGAGTTGCACGGGGATGACAACTTTCAGAACAAGGGTAGGTCATGCTCCTGACTAGCTGTGTGACCCTGGACAAGTCACTCCCTGTTCTGGACGCTGATTTTTTTCCTCTCGGAAGCAGGGTGAGTGGCCTCAAAGAGAACCCAGTGCTTGTTAATTCTGATGTTCTCTGAAGTGGTGGCCTGTGCCGATGCCTGGGCCAAATTAAAACCCTTACTTGGAAGAGGAGACAGAGCTCTGGGACTGAGGTGAAACTTGGAGGCTTGGGACTTCCTGGAAGAACTTGAGCTTGGGGCTTCCTGGAGGAGGAGACCTTTGAGCTGAGCCTTAAAGGGCAGAAGTC